TACTGAAGAAGCTGGTGAACACGGACAAAAAGCAGGCAGGAAAGGGAATTATGAAGTATCAGGCTCTAGAACGCGCCGAAGGTGCCCGAAACCTGCAGGCTCGTCGTAAGCAGAAACGTATAAAGGAGATGCAGAAGAAGAAGAAGCAGAGACCGGACTTTGTCAAACGCGCCTTCCTTAAGCGTGGACAAGGAGAGGTAGAGAGAATCAAGCGTGCGGGCCCTACACATAAACGTGTTAGAAAGCAAAAGAATCGTGAAAGGGTCTTCGACTTCTTTGAACTGCCAGAATAAATCTGCGTTTACTGTACTCTTTTACTCACTCGCTTGCTCGCTGAGCGTGACGCTCGGCAAGCAGTGTTTGAGAAAGAAGTAAAAGTACGGTAGCAATCAAACGATCCCTTTTCTTTTTATCAAAGAAACGAACGGTGATTGCGACAGGTATTCTGCATTTAGGTCGAATAAGGCAGTCGGTATTTGGGAAATTCAGGAATAGGTTTTTGTCGTTTTTCAGTTTAGGTCCGTTTTGTTAAGTTAGAATTGGTTGGGTAAGAACCTTTGAGCTTCGTATTGGTCAAAATGTCATCGAAAAAGATAAGCATGGATGCATGCAGAGAGCTGGCAAAAATGCGATGTATGGTAAATAGTTACATAAATTATACTATTATCCGCCTCTTGGGAGCTTTTAGTAGTTGTTAGCCCGTAGTGGCTGATGGACTTCGGCCCAAACATTTACATTAGATGTCGCTCTCTATATTGACCCCAAATATATTGATGTATGCCAATTTCAAAAATTAATTTTGAAGGGAATTAAAGGGCCGAACTTTCGAAGTATCTACACGAAAGCACACAGGGCATGTTGGGGGGAACGACTGGTAAACTTGACCCCTTGCAGCTGTGTTAAGCAGCCGCAGAATACCGATCAAACAGTTTTTTGGGCTTTTAGCTACTACCTTTACTGTCAGTCTGGTAAATATAGATGGGAACGACATATTTATTTTGCAATAAAAAGTGAGGTTTATGCTCAGGCCTATGAAGGATGGGCGATAACGGGAAACAAATAGATACCGCCGACGGCTGCGTTTTTATAATTATCTCACTAGATAGGGGTTAGGGATTCGAGTTGTTCGTTAACGGCTGATTGGCCAGAGGTCTCTTGAATACACGTAAAGTGAGGGAATGCACAACGTAAGTCGGTTAAGGATCCAACTGCAAATTAATCTCTGCTAAGCAAGGAATAAGCATTCATTAGTGTGAGCCTATTCCTTTTTAGGCTGGTAATAATGCCTTTGAAGATTCGAGTGTCATGTCATTTAAAAAAGACCTTTCCAGTCGACAGCTAGACAAAGTTACCCTAGCAACTGAAACGTTGCTATAAGGTCGCTTCTGCCCTGTCTGTAGTGGAGGGGATAGAGCTTCGGGGCGGTCAGGCGTTGTTCGTGCATAAACGTTTTGACTTTATTAGCAACCTTTGTGGCACCTGGTTGTACATATTCAAGACAACCTCTATCTTTCCGAAGTCACGGCCAACAAGCCTTGCCACATATTCCAATTGTGGTCACATAAATGCTCCATGTAGCTATTCGAAGATATTCGCATTCAAATGAGTAGATATTTTTCTTATCGCACTCTTAATTTGCAAGAGATACTGTCGTGAGAGTATCGCAGGGGGTTAAGTGAGTCAAACCCAGCAACTGCGATCTTCAGACCATGGTTACTTGTTGAGGAGAAGTCAGTTAAGGCCGGAGTAGTGGGAAGAGTATATTGTGTACACAAGGAACGAAGAATAGATGGAGGAAGTCTGACTTGGGAGAACACGTCCGCTCAGGATATTGACCGGGTCCCAAGTGACTGTTTAAGAGCAGTCGGGCCAGTAGACAGAGAGAGAGCATTCATTGGCTAGGTCGGCCTGGAGATTTTGGGCAAAGAAGCAGCTTGCGTCGGGAACGCGTGCAAGCTTGCTATTCGTCTCTTGCCCAAACCGCGTAGATGCGGGAACTATGATTAGCTGATCGAGACGTCGAAAAACCGCATCAGTGAGCCTTTGGGAAAGTTCACTTCGACGCGATCTAGTCGACCAGGCACGATCCACTACAAGAGTGTATATGTTCTGCGTCTTGTCGAACCGTGCGTTGTGACACTTAGGTCGTTATTAATGAAACCACCGAAGTCTTCTTGCACACATGCGGTTTCTATTGGTTGATTTTCCTAGACATCGTTGTAAAAATGCATATGCTCTGTGTCTTGCTGATATTGTATACAGTACCAAACAACTGTTGGCGTTTTAATACATATACCAGTTCTTGCGCTATGCCTGCAGCTGGTCTATAGCCTCTTACAGTATCTGGGAGTCTCTTTTGCCTTTTATCGCCCTCCACAGGTCACGATCATCTGTAAAGAGCGCTATGTTGGATTTCATTTCACGTAATAGGTCGTTAGCATAGTTAATGAATGGAATCAGCTCAAGAACTGAATCGTATGTTATCCCATTTTTAACAGGCACCATCATTCTGAACATTAGACACCAGTAGTACGTTTTATCTACGATCGTTTAAGGAATCTTGAATCCAGTTCAAGAGATTTCCTCTTACCTATATGTCTGACAGCTTGTGGAACGCAATCAAACACCTTGCTGAAGTCGAAGTAAATAATATCGCCTGGATGTACTTCATCGATGGCTTTTGACCAACGTTCGAGCGACTTAAGAAAGTTGGAAGACAGGACCTTTTTTCAGAAAAGCTATGTGGAACCGTTCTTATTTGAGAGTAAGACGTGTCTGGTGGTGCAACTAGATTTTTAACTGTCCACTTCGTCAGCTTAAAACAAATGCATGTCAAACTGACCCGCTTGTAGTTGGTGGAATACAGCCGTGATCCTCCCTAATGACTGGGTATGACATTTTACAACTTCTATAAATCAGGATTTTTAAAGGCTTCGAGAGATTTTTGGAGAATTGTACAGCTGTTCTTCTAATTCTTAAGCTAGTTGACGTAGTAGCATGTAGACCTGGGATCTCATCCGTTTCAGGTGACTTGGCTGGATACGGCTTTATAACTCTGTTAAAACGTTGCAGAGCTCGGCGTGGGTATTGCTCATCGTTCTACAAAGAACCGTGACCATCTCGCAACTTTGAAAGACAAAAACAACGA